GGGTTTTCTGAAGAAGGGTCCAGACCCGAAACGTCAGCTTTCCTGCTCCTCTGATGCTGCTTGGCCTGCTGTGTTCATCCAGCTCTACACCTTGTTATCTCAGACTATTAATACATCCTTTCGGTGGTGTTGCCTCCCTGCCAATCAGGTTATTTTGTCTATCAAACAAAATCTGTTTTCTGTCTCCACACTACAGTTCACCATCAATTGCACAGGCTTTTAGAGACTTGGTTATGTATATGCCACAGAGGTTTTAGGGAGGTGCCTTGAACAGACCAATCTGGGGTTCTGTTACCGTGTTAGAGAGCTGTCTCGAATGGGGCCATTTTTACCACTTTGGGGAATGTGTACCTAGACCAATTTGAGGTTACCATTTGTGTTATAATACAGTACCCTTTCTTCCTTTCTGTCAACAAATATATATATACACAAAGGGCAGAATATTATAGGGGTCTAAGCAACATAGGCACGAAGTCCAGGAGGGCTAATTCCAAAATCAGGGGCATCTTTATGCTTTTGACAAGCAGCACAGTGGTAAGCTTCCAAAGAAGAGAAATTATTGCTTGTTAAACACAATATTAAAACTAACTGCAAAGGTCCTCTCCGATGTCGCTCCATCCACCTCCTCCACAGCCAGCAGCTCCAGAGGAGACAGCAGCACCCAGCCCAGCCAAGTCTTCACCATCCCCCCAGACCTCCACCTCATTGAGGACAAATGGTCAGTCCTCAGTAAAGGACTCACCTTTATCCCCCTCCACCCTAACATCAACGAATACTGCTCACGCTTGGACGTTGAACAGTTTTTCCGCCTCCGCGCTTACTTCTTTAATCGTGAGCCTAACCCTCCCTCTACTGACCCCTTCTCCCACCTCCAACACACCCCCTCCTCCTGGACACCACCCCAAGGCCTCCTACCCTCCCTCGACCTCTTCATCTCCAACTGCAATCGCGACATCAATCGCCTCAACCTCGCCACCCCTCTCACCCACTCCAACCTCTCCCCGACAGAACGTGCAGCCCTCCGCTCCAACTCCAACCTCACCATAAAACCCGCGGACAAGGGAGGCGCAGTTGTAGTATGGCGCACTGACCTCTACATCGCCGAGGCCAGACGCCAGCTCTCTGACACCTGCTCCTACCGCCCCCTTGATCATGACCCCACCCCCAGCCACCAAAACATCATCTCCCCAGACCATCCACAACCTCATCACTTCAGGTGACCTCCACCTCATTGTTCCCCAACCCCACATCGCCCGTTTCTATCTCCTTCCCAAAATCCACAAACCTGACTGCCCTGGTCGACCCATTGTCTCCGCCTGCTCCTGCCCCACCAAACTTATCTCTACTTCTAACTTGACTCCATTTTCTCCCCACTGGTCCAGGAACTCCCCACGTACGTCCGTGACACCATCCACGCCCTCCACCTCTTCCAAAACTTCCGATTCCCTGGTCCCCAACACCTCATCTTTACCATGGACGTCCAGTCCCTATACACTTGCATTCCCCATGCAGATGGCCTAAAGGCCCTCTGCTTCTTCCTGTCCCACAGGCCCGAACAGTACCCCTTCAGTGACACCCTTATCCGCTTAGCTGAACTCGTCCTCACCCTTAACAACTTCTCCTTCAATTCCTCCCACTATCTACAGACAAAGGGGGTGGCCATGGGTACCCGCACGGGCCCAAGCTATGCCTGCCTCTTTGTAGGATACGTGGAACAATCCCTCTTCCGAAGCTACACTGACCCTATACCCCACCTCCTCCTCCGTTACATCGATGACTGTATCAGCGCCACCTCTTGCTCCCAATAGGAGCTTGAACAGCTCATCCACTTCACTAACCCCTTCCACCCCAACCTTACGTACACCTGGACCATCTCCGATACCTCTCTCTCTCCTTCCTGGGCCTCTGTTTCCATCTCTGGCAACCACCTGGAAACCGATATCCATTTCAAGCCTACCGACTCCCACAGCTACCTAGAACACACCTCCTCTCACCCACCTTCCTGCAAAATGCCACCCCCTATTCCCAATTCCTTCACCTCCGCCGCATCTGCACCCGAGATGAGGCATTCCACTCCGGGACATGCCAGATGTCCTCGTTTTTCAAGGACCGCAACTCCACCTCCACAGTGGTCGAAAACGCCCTCGACCCTGTCTCTCGCATTTCCCACAACTCATCCCTCACACCCCTTCCCCGCAATAACAACCAAAACAGAATCCCCCTTGTCCTCACGTACCACCCCACCAACATCCAGATCCAACGCTTCATCCTCCGGCGCCTCCGCCATCTGCAATCTGACCCCACCACCAAAGACAATTTTCCCTTCCCACCCTTATCTGCTTTCCGGAGGGACTACTCTCTCCGTGACTCCCTCGTCCGCTCCACATTCCCCACCAGCCCCACCACCCTCGTTAATTTTCCCTACAACCGCAGGAATTGCTACACCTGCCCCTACACCTCCCCCCTCACCGCCATCCCAGGCCCCAAGAAAACCTTCCACATTAAACAGATGTTCACCTGCACATCTGCTAATGTGGTATACTGTATTCACTGTTCCTGATGTGGCCTCCTCTCCATCGGGGAAACCAAGCGGAGACTTGGAGACCGCTTTGTGGAACACCTACACTCTGTTCGCGACAAATGACTGCACCTCCCAGTCGCGAACCATTTCAACTCCCCCTCCCACTCCTTGGATGACATGTCCATCCTGGGCCTCCTCCAGTGCCACAACGATGGCACCCGAAAGTTGCAGGAACAGCATCTCATATTTCGCTTGGGAACCCTGCTTCCCAATGGTCTCAACGTGGACTTCACAAGCTTCAAAATCTCCCCACCCCTGACCGCATCCCAAAACCAGCCCAGCTCGTCCCTGCCTCCCTAACCTGACCGTCCTTTCTCCCACCTATTCACTCCTCCCACCTCAACCCCCATCCCCACCTCCTACCTACCAGCCTCATCACCGACTCCTTGACCTGTCCACCTTCCCTGGACTGACCAACCCCCACCCTAACTCCCCACCTACACTCACCTTTACTGGCTCCATCCCCGCCTCCTTGACCTGTCCGTCTCCTCTCCACCTATCTGCTCCTTTATCCATCTTCCATCCGCCTCCCCCTCTCTCCCTATTTATTTCAGAATCCCCTTCCCCTCCCCCATTTCTGAACAAGGGTCCAGACCTGAAACGTCAGCTTTCCTGCTCCTCTGATGCTGCTTGGCCTGCTGTGTTCATCCAGCTCTACACCTTGTTATCTCATTAAAACTAACTTACCATATTGATATTCAGCTTGGTATCTTCACAAACATGCCAAACAAGCTAGACATTGAGAAAAGTCAAAATGGAAAACAGAGCAGATACCTGACAATTCAGCTCACCACTTGCTCCAAAAGGACCTCAATGTTGGACACTGGGCACTAACATCTCAGGACATGCTCCATGGGCAACAGCCATATGTGCCTCATGTCCACAGAACTGGCATCCTATATATGACAGCTTCTAAGAAACCCAATCACTTATCTCTGATCCACTTACAGGATGCTTCTCCTCTTCAATGCTGCACTAACAACTATCATCATAATGCGGCAACAAGGACACTATACTCCAGGACATACACTCAGTTCATGAACTCGACCAGGCTAAATCTCTGGAGTTTTTAAACTCGCTCTCATAGCGCTTACTCATTCGGAGCCTACCAGAATGCTCACAACATCCCTGTACTGTATTGCCTTTTATGCTTTGTCCCCTCAGTCAGCGATACCAGGTTTATATTATGCTCACATTACTTCAGTCTTACCCTGCCTTGCTTTGCAGAGACACAAAGAAACAAATCTTGCCCCAGTAGTCTGCTGTGATCATCAAAGGTGATAACATTTGGGCAAGGAGTCCCAGCACAGTAAGTCGAAAAGCAACATTCAATACAGTCCAAGTACTTGTAAACAGTCATCCACTTAAGACAGTCAGAATGTTCTCTGCACAAGGGATGAGGAGCCTAATGTCAGTCAGCCCATCACCCATATTGACTGTTTCTGCCTGATTTGGGCTGTTTTCACCCTGAAATGAGAGGGACATATTAAGTGGGTTGTTCAGCTGTTACCATTGGTACAGTAAGGGAAGTATCTGAATGATCAGGTAGACAGGGCAGAAGCCATGCGGGTTTGAGGTTTCAGGGGCTGGGGCAAGTGACAGCAAGTGAGGGAAAATGATGCGGTCATTAGTGAGAGTGTTGGACATGGGAGATGGGCACAGTAGCAGGAATAGTGAGAGTGAGGATTATTGGAGTCCAGATGGTAACAATTATGCTGGTAGGGTGGTGAAGATCATTGACACTCTTTCTACCTTACTATGCATTTCTCTAGACAGCTGAGACTGCACTTTCCCAGGCAGCAACCTCGAACCAGGCTGGCATGGTCTCCAGTATGGATATGGAGGGAAGAGGAAGTCCACCTCTGTACTATACCAACCAACAAGACCTCTAGGTCAAAAAACACTGAAAGAACTGTGGATGCTGTAAATCAGAAACAAAAACATAAGTAGCTGGAAAATCTCAGCAGGACTAGCAGCATCTGTGAAGAGAAATCAAAGTTAATGTTTCGGGTCCAGTGACCCTTTCTCACAACCCCTAGGTCTCTGCCCATAAAGTGAGATGCTGACATCCCCCTGTTTGCTATATCCAATACAAATGTCAGGAACCATGCAGGACTGCTCCAGACTGACTGTGCTTGTCTGAATGTGTAATAGGCTTTTAAAGATAGCACAGGCACAAGGGGTGTCAGTGATTCCTGGCTATCTGATTAGTGATTTTTTTTTTTCCTGGAATAGCGTGCGGTAAGATGAGCCAGAATCGGATCTGATGGATACCACATTGGTAAGGTTGATAATTAATGATCCGAGTTTAGCAAGATATGGAGGGAATTCTTGGTCAGGCATACAGCGGAAACCCCTCAAAACTCATTGCAACTTGGACTTAGCAAAACAAAAACTTCAATATTTTATTTATTTCTTGTAGTTATCATTCTTTCCTTCTTATTTAATACTTCATCATGGTTTTAAAATTAAAATTAAAATTGTTTTAACATATTTAGTATTAAATCTCTCATTCCTGTTAAATTCAAACTACTGCTCTGAACCCAAGAGAAACTCTGCTCTTCAAAGCAGAGTAGCAGGTAGCAACACAAAATGATTTTACATTTTAGAATAACTCTAACTTATGAAAAAACACAGAACATGTTAATGGAATATATAACACGATAATAAAGAGTGTTCTTTAATCCACTCTAACGTCCCTGGTTCATTACAATCTGGTGTTCATGATCATTTCAAGAATGGAATAAGTGTTTGTGTTGCTTGGTCATTTATAAATCATGATTGATTGTGAGTAATGTATTTGCAAGTTCAGTAACTTTTATACCTGTTTTTCTATTAAATTTCTCTGTTAACTACATTATAATATCATTATACAGTACTAGGTGAACAATTATCCAGAAATAGCTGTGTAAAAATTTAATATTTTAAAAACAGTTAAATTGCATTGCATCAATCTAAAAAACACACTGTATTCTGATAACGTTAGGCATTTCATTCTAAGGCTTGCTTACCAAATTTTAAACAAGCATCAAATTTACTCGAAGTTACTGCAGTACTGATTACTGCAATGAGTCATCCAAAACCTCCTGGTCAAGGTTATGCATTCAGCAGCAAAATAACTGTTTTCACTGCCAACTTCCAAGCAAATTGTCCATAAAGACAAGCAATCTCTGTGGCATGGACTTTGCCTTGCCTAATGTCAGTTTGAATCTGGCAGCAGCCAAGGAGATTTCCAGGAATCCAGCAACACTGAGGTTTTAAGCAGTATAGCTAAGCAGTGATAAAAAGCCAACAGCCTGAAAAAAGGCTGATGTCAATACAGTTGGGCAGGAAACTCTTGGCTACAATGCAGAGTCTCTGTTTAATGAGGAGTCATATTTCAATTTTTCTCACTGAGAGGGGCCAGTGAGCAAATTTCACAAAATAAGGATTCCACAACAGTAAAATGAAGTTCAGAAAACAATTCCAAAGCAATAAATTGCTACATTAAATACGTAACAAATAAAATGGCCATTATAAAGTGCCAAGCAGCAGAGCCGACTAAACACTTTTTTTTGTCTTTTAGTTAAAAGGTAGAGCCAAGGAGAAAAAATGACTAGGGCCCAAATATATTCCCAATCAGTGATACATTAGTAAATCTGTCAAGACAGGCATCTAATACCTTCTCCATCGTACGGTAGTTCAAAAAAATCATGTTACATTTTTCTCAGATGAGCAGGTTTAATGGGCTTGAAGTAAATCAAGAGCTTCTCAACGTATCAATTACTTCTTTAATGTGTTATTTTGAAATGGACTGTGAGCCACAACATTCCATAAATTGGCCTGAGCTTCAATATATGTATGCATGAAAGCCACAATGATTCAATAACAACTGACCTGTTAACAAAGAAAAGAACCATTTGATCTGGATTTTTCTCAAGATAAGTAAATCCTTTTTTGAGAAACGTAGAAGCAATTGGAGTCGAAAAAAAAGGCAGAAAGGCCAAACAAAATTCACCCCCAAGATAGTTGTTGCCATGGCTTCATTTTTTCTGTACGTTCATGGGAGGTGGGCACTGTTGTCTAGGCCAGCATTTATCATACATCCCTAATTACCCTGAGGGCAGTTAAGAGTCAGCCACATTGCTTTAGGTCCGAAATAACACAGGCCAGACGAGGCAAGGACGCCAAATTTTATCTTGCGTAAAAGGAAATTAGAGACAAACGACTGCACCTCCCAGTCGCAAACCACTTCAACTCCCCCTCCCACTCCTTGGATGACACGTCCATCCTGGGCCTCCTCCAGTGCCACAACAATGCCACCTGAAAGTTGCAGGAACAGCATCTCATATTTCGCTTGGCAACCCTGCTGCCCAATGGTCTCAATATGGACTTCACAAGTTTCAAAATCTCCCCACCCCTGACCTCATCCCAAAACCAGCCCAGCTCGTCCCTGCCTCCTTGACCTGTCTGTCTCCTCTCCACCTATCTGCTCCTTTATCTACCTTCCAACTGCCTCCCCCCCCACTTCTCTCTATTTATTTCAGAGCCCCCTTCCACTCCCCCATTTCTGAAGAAGGGTCCAAACCTGAAACGTCAGCTTTCCAGCTCCTCTGATGCTGCCTGGCCTGCTGTGTTCATCCAGCTCTACACCTTGTTATCTCAGATTCTCCAGCATCGGCAGTTCCTACTATCTCTCATTAGAGAATCAGATGGGTTTTTACAAC